TACCACCTTAAGCCACATACAGCCTTGCTCTCGTGACCCTTGCTCTTTTGTTTTTCTTCTTGAAACCGATTCATTGTTTTCCAGTTTTTCTGAAGTTTACTTCAAACTTTTCTTTGCTTCAACTGAGTTTATCTAAAACAAATAATGAAATTACTTAGAATTCTGATGACATTTTGTTAAATTAATCATCAACGACCTTTTTAAAGCTCTAATTATCTCCTCTATGCGTGACAACGGTGGCTTTATTACATTTTCATTGTTGATTTTCCATCTTTATTAGTGTTTTTGACATTCACCTCTTTCAAGACTTTTTGAGGCATTTTTCATGGAACTGGAAAACAATGCAGCGTGCACAAAAGCCGCCAGAGCACCAACCTGTGAGCTAATGAGAGGCCCCACGCTGTTATCTGAGGCTGCGGCTCCTCTGCCACCGCGGCTTTTCTGTTAGCGGAGAGAACACACGCCGGGGTGTTCCGTTCACATATGTCGCACGCATACGTTCTTTAAAGGCGGTTCTTCTAGGGATGCTAAAGGCTCACAGAAGTCTCCATCCTACAGACAGCAGCCCTCGTGTGCACGCGGGGACTCTCACAAACGCGCAGCAGACACATTTGAAGGATTCGGTGGCACCAAAGACCACAATAAAGCAAAGGCTCAAATGACACCCTCCTGTGACAATCCCAAGCTTTAGCTGCTTGGCTTTGTCTCGTAATATATCAAATGTTTTCTCAAAGAACACTTAATACAACAACCTCTCTAAATTTGTTTGTATTAAAGAGGAGAGGAAGATACAAGACACCGGTTCTGTGTGTGCGTATTCCTTTGTGGCTGCGCCGCCGTATTAAACCCCTGCCAACCAGAGATGCATTATTTAAGATGCTGTTGTGATACTTGTGTCTGCTTAAAGGTCTCTGCTTCCTTTAAACGCCATGCCGCGTCAGTCAACCTCTGCCCCCACATGTGGGGAAACCAGAGTGGGACCTGCTGGCTCCGGTCCGCACATCACCTGAGAAAATCACAGCTGGGGAGGAGAAGAAGTAATCGAGATAACCTTTCAGTTAAGCATGCGGTTTTTATTTGCGAACAAAGGCATTTTGCTGCCCCACTTTTTTAATGTCCTCTCTTGCTTTCAGTCATTTTATTTTCTTGAATTTTCTGGTATTAAAGCATTTTCCATATAGAGTGTGGTTAATCTTGTGTTTTATTATTTTTATTTGCAATATTTTTAAGAAACTAAAAAGGCAGTTTTCTGTCACACGGGCGTAAGAATGATTAAATCTTACTTAGCCCGTTGCTCTCCTGCAGAAACACGCCTGACACTGAACATGGTATTCTAAATGGAATACATTTCATTTTTCTTCCTGCCACGCCACCAGCCGTGAGTGGAGGGTGGAAAGGGAAAATCCTGGGAAAGTGGAGGGAATGAGGAACTTCAGGGCCCCTCATTACACTCTGCCCCTGGGTATTTTCACGCCTTTTATTTCCCATCTAATGAACTGTTTACATTTTATTCTGCTTTCTAGGCGCCACAGTTATTCAACTTGTCCTTGTGTCGCTCGTCGCACCAGGAATGAAGCGAGGAGGACAGTTGGAGGTCACTGCATTAAGTCACTTCCATCTGAGCTGCTTTAATTGTGATGATGGGATTTTTCACTGTATTTTTCCACAATAAACACATTTTCAAACCATTTGTATAGGTAAATAAAATTTTAAAATAAAATGCAAAAATAATTGACTTTACTTGGATATGCATGCCCACAAATAGGAGAAAAAAAATCCAGCCATACATTAGTTATAATTAGATTATCATAATTTACTTGTTAAAGGATTATGCTGAGCTCATTTGCATATCTGATATGAATTGTTATTCATGCATATGTAATTGCATTTTGACGAGCAAAGTAGAATGCTTTATTTTTCTTTGTGTGTGTGTGTGTGTGTGTGTGTGTGTGTGTGTGTGTCAGCCATCATGTCAACAGAGGTAAAACGTGTGTTTTTGACAGGACACCAGCACCTCCGTCTCTGCTTTTGACAGAGTGTGTAGAGTTTTAAAGGCGGGCCACTTTGCATAAAGTTAAGATGTACCTTTGTACTTCTCCTGTGTGCTTCCGGGAATAGAAGCAAATTCTCACTCAAGATTAAAAAGTGACAAAAGATGGACCTTTCAAAAGGATTAAAAAAAGCTCCCTTTTCTCCCCTTATCTGAGCAATAAGGTATCTTCTAAAAGGGCTTATTCTTTTTTAGATTACAAAGTCTGATTAGTCCCATAATGTGCAGAACTTCTTCTCCACTTTGTGTAAATAACCAGTTTTTCTGGCCTCTTTTTTATTTCTCCTATAAAAAAGTATCTGATTGCCTGACCTCAAAAGTCAACTTCTTGTCATTTAATCTAACGCCAAACTTCTAATCACATATTTTCCGTTATCATGTGAAGTGCTCAGGATTGCACCTGCTTGTGTTTTACATCAAAAGGGAAACGCAGCAATCGCTCAGGAATCTGTTGTTTTCCAGAGGGGGAAATCCAAAAAACCGAGTGTATACTGTAGGTACAGGGAAAGTAGCGGCAACGCTTTCATTTCAGTGACATTTTCCATTCTTCACACTCTCTGTTATCTGCTCTGTTCTCATTGCAGAAAGCCTTCATACATTCATCTGTAACAAACAGCTATTTAGAATTACAAAACAACACAAGAACCCTGCATATGGTTTGAAGGCGACGTAAGCCCCAGCATTCAAATCAATGCTTCTCCCAGGTTTCCTCGTCTCAATTACTGGAGAAGTCGTCTTTCCCCCTAAGTTGCACTGCAGCTCTTTAAGATGAAACTTGACTTAAATGGAACATGTGGGTGTTTTTCCTGACAAAAGGTGTGTTTGTGTGCCTGATGTGCTAGTGTACACGCCACCCTAATCTCGTCTTTATTCCCGTTTTTGTTTTCCGCTTAAATCTGAAATGACTTTTAATCTGCAGCAGCACAGTGACCAATGAGTTATCCTCCGACAAACAGCGGGGTTTAAAAAAGATGACATTTTAATAAATAGAAGCAGTTTCTAGCTTCTTTATTGATTTGTAGTGCACACATGTATACACTATCTACGTTTTATAAGAAGGGCGTGTTTCAGACACGATGAAGCGTTTTACTTGTGGAGCAGCAAAGTTTAAATGAAGACAATTGTCAGTGGGATTTAAAAAGGAATGAAACATTTCTACAAGTTTAGACACTTTAGATCATTTATATTATCAGGAACTAACATAATAAACCAAATTTATTAATTGAGCTTAGCAACAAAGACATGAAATGAAATTATGACACATTTAGAAATTGTTCCCCTGATTTTTGTGCATTTGGGAAGATTGAGTTGATTCTGCCAATCGGTTTTTTCCCCCCACCACAGTGGGCATTCTGCGGTTGGCTCAGCTCCCCGTGGTTGAGTGTTGTTTGGGTGCTCTCTTTATCTAATGGGTTTTTGTGGTCTGGGTCAATCAGGGCCTCTGTCTAGTCAGTAATTACTCCAGAGAGCTGTGGCCCTCACCATCATGATAATAACAGCCAAATCACATCAGCCATGACTTTCCAGTCACTGCTTCAGATTATGAGGAGAGACAAATAAAAAAAGGAGAAAGGAACCAACTCAGTTGGCTTGTTTAGTGATTGGTTTCTGAGTTACTTCCCTTAAGGAACTTGACATCATCAATCAGGGCTTTTCTCTTACCTGTTTTATTTATTTATTTATTTTAGCTTTTCCTTGGAGAAAATGGCATGTTTGTAGCTAATGCAGTAGCTTCTTATTGTGGTGTCTTACTCAAAGATATTATGAGAAGTCTTTAATTGGTGTATTTTTTTCTCGTATTTTTCTTAACATTAAAAAAACCTGCTTGGTTTTATTTTGAGTAATTTACCAACCACATAAATAATGACTGTAAATAACGCGTGTGAAAGGAAAGTGATATTTTCCTTCGTCTGCTGGCATTTGCCTTTGATTTTGGCCCACCTCCTGCAGCCCAACTAGAAACTCTGTTAAGGCGGTGAGAGAAAGCGAAGGTGGCTTAGTAAACACTTTTTTTCCTGTCTGCTGCTGGTGTGCCTGTGTGTTTAGTTTAGAGGGCATGCCAAGAGGCTGCTTTTCCATGGGCCGGGCGTCTGTAAACAAGTAGTACAATGGCAGCCAAGTCTACCACAATCGGAGGTGGCGCACTCTTGAAGTCTGTGTGAAATGTGTGTTTGTCTTTTTGGGTGCTGTTGTTTTTTCTCTTTCTTTTGCGGGACATGGCATTCCTTTGCACTGTATCCTACCTTGAGATGGAGAAAGAGAGGGAATTGTGTATGTGTTTGTGTCTCTCTCTCTCACTTTCTCTCTCTGTGTGTGTGTGTGTGTGTGTGTTAGAGAGAGGGAGTAAGAGAAAGGCAACCCTAAATCCGATGGGCCGCCAATGGGTGATGAATTATTCCCTGTCTAAGTCACAGCATTGGTGTTATCACAGAGGCTGCCACTGCACTGGGATGACAGCGGTGACAGCCCCCCAGAAAAGATTTAGCACTGACAACTGATACTTCCTCATAATACATCTCCCTGGTCCTCTCCCCTGTCCCCCTACTCCACAGCCTCCATGCACATAGGATGCTGTTTTATTTTATTTTTTATCACCCCTCAACTTCTATTTGTTTAAGTGGGCAAGCTGGTGTTGGGGGTCTCTTTTCTCCCAGTTTTAGAACACTGTGTATAATACATCGCCTCGGATAGAGGCATGAGCACAAACCCACTCTGCAGCTTGTTGTCATTACGTGCTGTAGGGAGGCTCGCACAAATATACACAACCTGCATGTGTGTGTGTGACTGTTTGTCACTGAGTTCCATTAGGGGGCTCTCGTGCTTAAGGAATGCCTGTTATGTTTTTGCATCAACAGTAGTACTAAGACATACCCCCCCCCCCCCCCCACTTGTTTTCTCTTTCTGTTTCTTTTTCCTCTCCTCCTTTTCGTCCTTCCTCTTCTCTCTGCAGAAAAGGTCACGTATCGCCTACAGTGATGAGGTGCGCAACGAACTCCTGGGGGATGATGCCATCTCCACTGAGAGCCAGGTAAGGTGCTAATCAGGGGCCCCAACAACACCAGTATGGGTGGCTGACTGGCCCCCAGGGTAAGTAGGTGGGCCCCTCACAGGGGCCATCGAAAGCTGAAGCGACACTATTGTCACCAAGTCATGTGGAAGGAACACTGTTTAATGCAAAGCTGGCTGGCTAGCGAGGAGGCTCGTAACGTAAGACCAGCGTCTGGCCAAAGCCAGATTGTGACATGCTCACTTAAAAAAAAGGGGGCACAATTCAGCACGTATTTCAGTCCAAAACCCCGGTTTCCCCAATCGTCCAACAGCTGTTCTCCAGCTGGGCGCAGATTTAGGCTTATAACAGATTCTCACGTTCAATGCACACACACACACACACACACACACACACACACACACACACACACACACACACACACACACACACACACACACACACACACACACACACACACACACACACACACACACAGACATTTGCAAAAGGATGCACACAACTAATAAAAAATGTCCCCTTTCTTATTTATTCATATAATTTTGCAGTGCAAAATTGAATTTTTTTAAAAGCTGGACTTAAAATCTTCAATTTCTAACTTCATTTATATTTAATTAAAAATGCTATAAATAAATAAAATTGAATAATTCTTAAACTGAAGCTAAATGAGCGATTGTTCCAGTGTTGAAGATGTGTTTACCTATAGCTCACCGGCACAGTTGCCATCCATACGCAGCCACGCTCAACTCTGACCAAACGTCTTTTGACTAATTATATTTAGTCTTTAGACTCAGCTGTCAGCCTGCACAGGTTACTGTGTCAAGGCACACACTCATGCTCTCGTGAATAAATGAATTGCACTTGCAAATGCGCACACATGCAAAGGAAGAAAGAGGGGAATAGTCGAATGCATAATTCACATTTAGTCCCGTCCCGATTTGGGGGAAGATGTTTAGATGATTTACAACCAAAAAATGCATAATAAAGTTGTCTGTTGTTATTTTTTTCTCCTATTATCATTTCAATGATGACCCATGAACTGCACATCTTAGAGACATATGTAGCACGAGCTGAGATTTGTTATTGATATGCATATTCCTGGCAAATTAGCGAGACACAAAGTGACTCCATTCTCCTTTTTTGCCGAAGTTGGAAGATTTGCTGTCAGAAATGCCAGATTTAACGCACTGATGGGTTCTATCAATAGCTTGTCAAAGCAAAACAACAAACCACTGGATTTATTTCACTGAAAATCTTAAGTCAAGTATAAAAAAATAATAAAATCAGATAAAATGTATTAATAATTCAAAATTTTCTTATTTTATATCCTTTGAAATTCAAATGATAGAAAAACAAAATTTAGCAGTAATTTATTTTAAGATGTTTAAAATATTCACATTATATATATATATATATATATATATATATATATATATATATATATATATATATATATAGTTTGTATTTGTTCAATTTCATTTTTATGCCTTGAAACAGTCAGGCAGCACAAATGAGCTAGAACGAGTTTTGTTTGGTATCCATTGACTGATGGCATTTTTATGCCTTGAAACATAAAAAATATAAATATTTCCTAAATATTTGTGTTTATTTTTTCAATTTTTTTTTTACAATAACATGAAAATCTCAGCCCACATTTTTGGCATTACTGACTATTTATCCAAATTAAAAAACATTTAAGTCCTTAATTATTAAATAACAATAAAATAAAACAATTTGGATTGTAAAATTCTCCATACATTAAAAACAAATCCACTGATATTTCTACACTTATTTATTTTAGAAAAAAGGAAATAGAATACAATTACATAAGAGGTATATATTTATTTTTTAAATAACTAAATAAATAAATAATGCATTATACAGTTGATTAAATAAAAATATCAAAATTCTTTTTAAACTTGAAATTATTATTTTTTACAAAACAAAACAGTGTTTAAAGAGTTTAGACTGAATAAAAAATAAAAGCAAATAGAGCCTGTGTGTTTTCTTCCAGGTGCCGCAGTTGCTTCATTTTCACTTTAAAATTTAGGGAGATAATCCTCGTCTTGCTGTGAGTGGAGTACTAGGAACTTCAGTTTTTTCTTTTTTTAATCTAACGAGACGGCAGCGATAGGAAAAGGGAAAAGATGGTGGGGGCCTGGGCAAGTCGGTCAATTTAATTCCTGACGATCTGAAAGAGGTCAGGATCATTTCGTATAGCCTTGGCTGAACAGATCATTACCAGTCACAAATCTGTTGGTTACATGGCAAGGATTTATAGCTAAGTAAATAGGGAACCATCATAAGTTCTAAAAATGGCGTGTTGGCCCTGCGATAATGGCTAAAGGACTGTTTAATAGAGTTCGGCATTTATTCGTTATCTGTATGCGGACAGAGCCTGAATTGGCACTATCACTCGTTTTTTTTAATAATGTGGCAGGCTACCGTTGCACATTTTTTCCTTTTCCTCTGCATGAAACACACACACACACACACACACACACAAACACACACACACACACACACACACACACACACACACACACACACACACACACACACACACAAATGCTGATAGTGCACACATAGGCGCACGCGCAGCAACAAATGCATACACATTTCTCACACACACAAACACTATACGGAATAGTTTCAATTTCAGTCACAGCAGAAGGCTTGGCCACAAGAGATTGTGCTGGTTTGAGCTGGCGTGGGCCAGATTTTACAGCCTACAAAGAAAACAGATTACCACTTGTATCGAATTCTATATTGGATAAAAAAAATCTTTTGTTTGAAAAAAAATTGCTGATTATCATAACAGAAAAATTGCAGCAGTGCAATTTTGAATACTGGCAGAAATCACAAAAACACATGGAAAGGCGCTCATGCAGGAGTAATTATACCATTTACAATATTCTGTATTTACGGCTGTATATCTCTAGAGCAGCACAAGAATCGCTGGCCACACTGAAGAATAGATGCCAAAGAAAAATAAAGCAAGATGGGGAGAAGCAAGAAATGCAGCTCTACACATGGCTTGTGTAGTTTTAATAAAACCCTCCATGAGGACTTGCAATCAGTCAGGCAGCACAAATGAGCTAGAACAAGTTTTGTTTGGTATCCATTGACTGATGGCAAAGCTGGGGTGTGGGATCGCACGATCTGATGGGTTCGTTCAAGCCCCCAAATCACCACATCCACAGTGTCGTTTTAAACTTTGGCCTCTTCAATAATGCATTCTTAGCGGGGAGTTGTTGCTCGGCTTAAAAAAAAAGAGAGTTTCCACTCTAAAGTGCGGCTTGTTACTGCCAACATTTTCAAGGGTAAGATCTCTTTAGAAAAACATGCTTGTTTTCCTCCTACGTTGCAGATATTAACAATATTTTTCTTCATTTTAACCATTACTGTGAAGTACTATTGATATACTTTAATCATGAACCAAAAAAATGATGTAAGAACTATTTTGAAATACTTCTAAAATAAGAGGAGCAAACACTGAGGCAGTGAGGCCAGATTGTGCATGACTCGATGTTTTTGGATTGTTTGTTGTTTAGTAATAATCAAACATGTGTTTACGGTTAATGATACTCTTTATTCATTTGTGTCAACTTTTGATTTTAAAAATAAATATATCTTATAATATTGTATAATGACAGCAATATATTAAAGTTATCTTTCCATAGGTTTTCATCTGAATAACATTTGATTTTAATGTATGTGCAAGTGTTAAATTCTAATTTTAATGGCTTAAATGGTTTTGACTCAAGTTAGAATCAAAATATCCCACTATGTACTTTTATTTTCGTAATAAAAACAAAAAATAATTGTCATGTTGAGCCTTTTTTTATGTAATACAGACTTTCAGGATCTCTGACCAAAAATATCTTTAAAAAGTTGCTACTTCAATACCTATAATAAAAAAAATAAACATTTAGTTGAATTTTCAGAATGATGTTGTACTTTTAAACACTAGCAAATTAACCTGTCTCATGATTAATAGACATAACACCAACTACAAATAACTAGTACATTATTGTTGTCTATCTTTAAATTAGTACATTATAGTTCAAACACCTCCTTTGCTTTGTCATAGTGATAATTTATTGCAAGTAAGAGTAGGCTCCTTTCTTGAATCTCTGACTTATTTTTGTAGATGCAGGAATTTTTCTTTCTAGAACAGGAGAAAGAAAGGCATTTTTTATTTACTTCATAATAAATTTGTTATTCTCTGTCATTAAAAATGCATAGCTATGCTAAGATTCATTTTTCATCCACTGTGGCTGTCCCAATAATAAGCACCACTTTCCTCGTATACAATAGTGGCCTTGCATGGCTTTCCATATGTGGTTTGGGCAGCATGCACGTTTACAGATACGCAGCATTAAATATTGACAGTATATCAGCACTGATAAACAGGGGTACAAATACTGTGCCAACTCAACTCCAAAGGGTGCACATTTCTTTTAATCTTTTCCTGAAGAATTGAGCAAGATGACAGATAAAAAATATTTTGCTAACATTTTAAACATACCGTAAAAACTATTTTTTATTGTTTTTTTTATATCTTTTCTCCTAATATATTAACTCCTGTGATGTGATCTCTTTTTTAATCTTAGCTGATGTTTCAAGTCGAGCATTCCAGTCCCTCTCCTTGTTTAATGTGACAGCAGCAGGACTTGATCTCTGTTTGTTGAGAAAATTCAGCCCGAGCAGCTGAGCTTTGTTTAATGCATTTGTCTTGTGTTTTCCAAATGCTAAACATTTAAACTGATAAATTGTCAAGGTTAATTCTGTATACTGGCAACATAAATGATCGTCTTCCTGTCGTGTTTCTCCTTTTCTGTCTGTCCTTTACTCTTTCCTACTTTTTTCTCCATTTTTTTGCTATCATGATGCAGTTGATAAAGTTACGTGAAGAGGTAAGTGCTGCTATTACTGTCATAAATTCTCATTTCTTTGTTCTTTGTAGGACTGACTGACTGAACACTTTAAAAACCAAACTACTGATGATGTCTTAAATATTGGTTCAAACATTGGTGAACTCTTGGAAAAATGTCCTTGAACAGGTCCAAATAAAACATTAGTGATATACATTATTGCAGTACCAGAAACCTGTTTCTGAAGGCCATTATGCTATATTGAACCTACCCCCTCGAACACCTATTATTCTAAACAATATTCATCCAACCCAGCAATTTACAATCTACATGTCAAAATAAAGTCAAACACTAGTTTATACCTAAATAATGGATTTCTTCTGTCCATTAACACACCAGTTGTGGTCAGCTTATATTTCCTTTATCACATATTGACTCCATAAACCCATCACTTCATTATGATTTTATTTGTTTGTATTGTCTTTAACATTTTCATGAATAACTTAATGAAACATTAGGATTCCTTGTGCAACATTTTGGACCTTATCTTTTCTTCACAATATGGGAATTTGGATTGGTTTTCAAAAAAGGTCTGTTGGATCAAAACTCTCAAAGTAACATCAGCATGCTAAGACACTAGGGTTTTTGCAACAACTGCTCAACTCAACTCAGCTTTATTTATGCGTCCCTAAAGTAAAATAGTTTTTGCTGCAAGGAAAAGAGACATAACTCAACATATTGGACATATTGAGAAGAGAACAGTCATTTAAAGTCGTCTAGAGATTCACAGATCACACATGGCAGAGACCAATGTATTTCAACAATCAGTTACATCATAAAAGTAATACCTTAAAACAACCAAGAATAATTAACAGTTCAACCTGTTTCTTTCTGCCTTCTGACACATTCACAATGAAGTAGATGTTGTATTTCGGTGTCTACTGCACCAGATGAGAGAGAACCCCACTCTGGAGAGCATAAAATGTTGCTAGTTAGCATTAGAACATTTAATTGAATTTCACTTTATTTGTAAAGCACCCTCCACGAACCAGGCGGGCACCCAAGGCACTGGACAGTACAGCTACAACATAACATGCAAGAGCAATAAAAACCCCCAATAATAATTGGCATCACAGCAGCAATAAAATAAAACATTACAGACAACAAACAGATAAGCAATGGCTGGACAATAACACCAGACCACTACAGCTATTGTGTAAAAGCCATGCTATAAAAATGTGTCTTCAAATGTGACTTAAAAATCAGCAACAATGTTGACTGGCTCATTGTCAGAGGTTACTCATTCCAAAAGTTTTGGAGCCATGACAGTGAACGCCCGATGTCCGTGATGGACAGACCTGGTACAGGAAAAGCACCAGGTAAGATAGAGCAGTAAGCCAGTGTAGTGATTCCAGCACTGGTGTAATGTGCTTCCAGAGGCTGGTGCTGGCCAAAAATCTAGCAGCCAAATTTTGGACTAACTGTAAACGTGCAACTGCACCCTGACCAAGGCTGGCACACAAAGTTTAACAATAATCTAATTTGGATAGGACTAAGGCGTGAATGACCGACTCTAGGTGTTCTCTAGACAGCATGGCCTTGATGTTCGCCAGATCGCGGAAGTTGAAAAACATTAACTCACAACAAGATTAATGTGTGTATTGAACTTAAGTTTTTTTTTCCCATTAAAACACAAAAAGCTAGAATTCATCAATGATCTAGCCTCCCCATCACATTGTAAAAGCATTGACTGACCTGCTTGGCCCTTGCTGCAGGGGGGAAATGGATCTGTAAATCATCAGCATATAAGTGAAAACTCATACCATGGCGCTGAAAGAGATACCCCAAAGGTATAGGTAAATGGTAGAAATAATTTCCACATTTTTATGTCAGAACATCTTAAATTTATCAAGGTCAAATACAAACATTCTGATGAGGGAATAAATAAGATGGTGTGTGGCAAACTAACTGGTCAACACAGGTGATGATTCTACATTCTAGGGAAAGGTTACAGTCATAAAGCTAAATAGGGTAATCAACCAGGAATTAGTATTTTCAGATTCCAGCTATAAAACTGTAAGTGTTTTTCAGAAATAACTGATTAATATATGAATCTCATTTAAAGCTGTTATGGCGAATCCACAGACCAAGCTAGGTTTTGAACACAAACATGGTCACTGAACACTCGCCCTTCCCCTCAGGTATGTTCCCTGAGAGACTTCTGCCGGACGTGGAAACCCGCGATACAGCAGTAAGCGAAATAGTGCTAAACAGCAGTCGCAGTTTTCTAGGTTCCAAATGTCTGTTGTTGTTTTTTTGGGGGTTCTGGTAGTTTGCCCTGAAGTTGAAGTGGTAGCAGCCAGGTGTTTCTCCTTCTCTGATATTACTGAATGGAGAGCCTCTCACACCTGTGGTGCTCTATTGCTAAATACGTAGGTAATAGGTTTGTGATTTTCACAAACTTAATTTTAAGACAGGTTTTCGAAGTGAATGATGGGAGTCGAGTCCCAGTAGAGAACCATTCATCTAGTCTTCCAGTAACACCCCCACTGTGCTCTCACGGTCATCATCGGAGGAGCGCCAACCCCCCTACCTCCTGTACACCCTCACGGACATCTTGAGTGGCACTGCTTTTTAACTTTTATTTTTCAATTTCTTTACAGTCTTTTAAATGTTGGCTTCTTTGTAATTATGCCCTACTGTAATTCTTCTTTTAATGACTTTGTTGCTATGTAGATGGCAACCTTGCACTGTCGTCCCCTATTTTATAATGTAGTATTGTGTGTGCTAAGCACATTATAATGATTAACATGCCTTTAAAAAGTGGCCCTGGCATCAGGATCCTTGTATTGGTCTGAACTTGACTTTGTGCCTAATCCCTTTGGTGGAGAAAACAAAGATTCACCAAACAAGGTAATTTAATTCTTTCTCTGTCCACACCTATTCATAATTTAGATTTCAAATTTGACCCAGATGCCATGTTATCGAGGTTTTTGCTTTAATATAGCTGTATTTTTGTTTTCCCTTCCAGCCCCGTACATTTTCCCCTAGCCTGAGGCTCGTAAAACACCTTCAGTTACCTCACTTGTCTACTCTTTCTCACATTGTCCAGTCTGTGTAATCAGACTTGATTTCCTGTCTTTGCTACCATTGCTGTCTTTTACTCTAATGCTCTTCCTACATTTGTTTCAAAGGCTGGCAAAGCTTAAGAACACTTAGGTCTTGCTTAAAAAAAATACTACACTTTCTTTTCCTTCAGCTGAAAACATGTTTAAATATTTAGCACCCCATATTCACAGCTGTTTGACACTTGTAATTCCTCATCTTACAAGTCCCAAACAAACGGCACCGAAGATCACACAGTCAGCCTGAATCACAGCTGTCATCATTATTCACTTTGACTCTCTCCCACCCTTATTGAAATAATAAGGAAATCATCTGAACTTTGGAAAATGGTGATAGTAACCGCCTGTGTTTGATATTGAAAAAAGGCAGGAGAACGAAAGAAGAGCGGAGATATTTCTTTTGAGCTACAGCTGCATTGTTCTGGGGCTCCCTGTTAATAACTTACAACTGAGGAGTTTTTCATGACGCAAAAAAAAAAGCACAACAAAAAAACACCCCTTTTGTGTTCCTTAAGAAGATCTTTGTTCAAAATGTAGGTGTCAGATGAAAAGGCACACATAGGCAGAAATAACTGGTGGTGGTTGGGTACACCTGTACTCTCACAGATGCACGATATTTATCGTATGCTCTATATAAACGATTTGCTTGAAGGCTCTTTAAGACAATCTGTCTGATAGTATGTTAAGTAAAGGATTGATAGCTTTACATGCTAACAATGAGCTTGTGTCTAGTGAATAATATTAGGTTGTCCTGCTCTGAGTCATTGTTAGAGTTAAAACCTAGATATTGATGTTACTGCTCTTTAAGAAGAGGACCTATTTTATGTTGATCTGTAAACTTGATGAGGTGAATGTTTTGAAGTTGTTCTTCTAGGTCTTTTTATTTATAAAGGCATACATTTGATACATTCCTTCATTTTATCTGTCATTTTCTTTTTATTGTTTTTCTACTTGTCATCATGACTGGATTGTTTCATTATTAGGACCATTACAGTAGGCCATTACTGAATTCTTAGCAGTTGAACTTTCACCTTTTACTTCAGGTTCTTTCATTGTCAAACTCAGGACATATTATTCTAATGAACGCACACATACACACTTTGCTATTGCCACCCCTACCCTGCAGCACCCCCTCCCGCCTCCCATACCCACTCACACTCGCCCTCCTTTCCCCTCCCGGCCCTAAAAGAAGACAGATCGAGGGAGAGAAAAGACACAGAGAGAGAGAGAGAGCGAGGGAGAAAAATTCAGGAGGAGCAAGCTTTGAAGTGGCTTTCCATCGCAGCGAGTGTGCCGGCCGTCTCCCCGAGATGTGTCACCTTTGCCGAGAGGGAATAGGAAAATCACGTTTCGAATGGTAATGATAACATACTAATCACTTGAGCTCTTTGAAGAACCCGGGGAGTGCGTCTACTCTGTCAGTATCCCTGGCTGCTTCATGCTCCCAGGCACACACAGACAGTGCAGCCATGGTCTAGGTGTATTAGCGTAAGCATTGCATGTCAATACGTCCCTTCTGTTTCAACTGATCCATTGGGGCTCATTATAGCCCAAGCTTGGTATCCATTTTCTCCCATAAGCACACTGCCACCATGCCTGTTGGTGCCACTACCTCTTCCACACCCAAGTAACCAAACCTCAAAGCCCCCCCACACACCTTTCACCAAAACAACCCCTGTATTCAACCCTGTTCACCATCTTTATGTTGGTTTCCACCCACATCAAACTCATTTTTCTCACCTATCCCTCCACCTGTTCTATGTCTCCATCCTCCTTCTGCCCTCCCTTTAACTATTAAAACTATCTCAGCAATTTTAAATGACATCTGTCAGCTACACAAAGTAAAACGGAAAAGGGGGAAGGAAAAGAGTTCAGAGGGAGTTTTCTTCTCCCTGCTCCTTTCCCATCCCTCTTGTT